ACACTTTGTATGTCCTATCTCTCTCTTGTAACTATAACACCAAAGGATTGGGCAAATCACACTATTATATAAATATATATTCATATTTCAACTAACATTGGAAGAGCACTGTTTATATTCCCTGTAGCCTTAAGGGATGATTGTTTTCAACAAGAACAACATATAAAATACAAAAAAAATTAAAAAAGATGTATTCGTCATAAACTCAGAATTTGGATATATATTTCTTATTAAGTGTGTCAAATTTAAAAAAAAAGCGTAAAAAAAAGTAGGGCCGACTTGGCTTTGGTTCTGCCATCATTGTTTTAATCTGCCCATGTGTCAAACTCAGGCCCGGGGGCCAAATCTAGCCCACAGTGTAATTATATAGGGCTTACGTGATCATATCAAATGTGTACTAGAGTTGGTCTGGAGATTTGTAATATTAGCAGTGTATGTGCTATCTTATAGCAAATACATTTTGATGTTTTTTTGTTTTTGTTGTTGTTGGCCTGTGAAAAAAAGATTTACATTAAAAAGGAACTTGAAAGGCTACAGATAAAGAGACACAATAAGAAACAAATACCACTGATGTGTTTTATTTTAAATGTAATATCTCATGTGTTTATAATATAAAGCTTTGGTTTTTCCAGATTCAGTGTTAACGCAAAACTGTTTGTTTCCATATGAAAAAAAATCTTCATTACATATTGGGAGAGAAGGAAAAACAATCACAATTGCAGTCAGTTTTTTCAATAAATATTAAGTTTGGTCCACTGTGAATTTGAGTTTGACACCCGTGACAGTGTCTGGATAGAAGCGGCATTGTATCCCCGTGTTACAATGACAATAAAGACTATAAATACATTTTAAAAAAGTGGTGAGAATGTAGAGCTTTGGACGTGACTAGATCGGGAAAGTGCCTTTTGTTGCACACTAATTTTCAATTAGTCACGTGGTGGTAATTGGCACAGCTCACAATTGTTATATTGCAATTTAATGTGGTGGATTTTTCCAAAATGGTGCCAACAGTTGGTACTAAAGTACTTCACTTCGCGGCTTCACTTAATGTCCCACTTAAATATGTTTGGCTCACATTTTATTAATAGAAACTTGGTCACTATTTATTTATGCTCTGAGTTTTAGTCTATGATACAAAAAAAACCTTGCGAACCAACATGGCGGCCTTTGCAGAAAAGCCCAGTTCTTTTGTTAATAAAAAAAAGGCTAATTTGAGTTAGCATCATTAAAGCACTCCTATTTTTATACTTTGTTTGATTTTTTTTTTTTTTTTTTACTTATTCCGTCGACAAGAATATAGAAGAATTTGACATAGTTTTGCCACAGTGGCTCTGTAATAAAAAGGCAAGTTACGAGAACCTACTCAGAGTCCAACGGCCAGGCGACCACCCAGACAATGCCGTGACCCATCGACCAGGCGAACCAAGCTCCGCCTGGAGAGAAGGTTTTTTTCACTCAGCTGAAGCTTTGTTTTTAAAAATCCACAGTGGAATAATAATAATAATAACATGATGAATGGATTATTCAGATTTTACATAACACAACTCATTATTATATGAATATATGAAAATATTCATCCTTTTTCATATGGATAAATTCAGTTGTTTGTAAATGGCTGGGATTGCAAAATTCCAGGTTTGTGATGTAGGTTTTCACAGACAACACAAAACCACCACCGACCATCAGACAGCAATAATCATACTTTTATTAAACAACTTCATTGGCTGCAGGGAAGTAACAAAGTAAAAACATTTCAAATTCCTGTACAACAAATATTAGAAATAAAATTACAACTATTCAAAACCCCAGCTTAAAAAAAAGGATACATTAAAAGAAATAATTTTTACATGTCTTCTGTCCATTCTGTTCACATTCTGATTGGGAGTAAATGATATTTACACTAAACAATAATAATTAAAAACATTTTTTAAAAAGGGCTCAAATGTGACCAGTTCCTCTGGCTCGTCCATCTGTACGGTGTCTTCTTGTTGTGCACTGGTGTCCACACTTTCAGCATCTTCATGTTCATCTGCAAAAACATTTTGTAACCTTTTTTTTTTAGTTTCTTGTAATGATTTTATAAGCATTTTTTTCAAAAAAAACATCAATAAACATAAATCCTACTGGAGAAGAGCCGATGTATCTGGACTAGCGTTGTATGGTTACCGTTGGGTAATGGAGGCAACCGAGGAACAGTGTCATGAAAGATCTGCTCGTCGTCAGATTCTACCAGATCCAGTCTTCCATTTGCCTGGAGAGCAGACGCAGGAGTATGACATCATCAATAGCTGTTTGGACAGGAAACTAAGCTGTGTCGTTGTAGTAAATACCTGAGAGTCTTTGCTTCTGCTACACACCTTTCAAATATTTATGGGGAGTGTATTTAGGGGAGTGTTTAGACGATGACTTGTCTCAATTCCACAAATTCCAAAGATGCTTTCAGAATCTATGACATCCTTGCTACATGTGCAATGGAAACATGAACTTCTTTCGTGTTTTGAGTTTTTGGCCACTAGGAGTGCTATAAAATAATTACTCTTTTGTTATTGCCTGACTTTTCCATTGTCTGTGTCCCCCAAGAAGTAATGCTAATACTTACGCTAAACCTGTTTAAAAATATAAACCTGTTTAAAAATATATAAAAATATTTCTTAGTGGGACTAAAACAAAACTAAATAAAAACATAGCATTTGAAGATAGAGGCCCAATCTCCAACCCAGGGGCCACTTCCTGACTTTTCTGGCCCTCAACTGGATGTCAATAATTTAACCACTGTAGCTGGAGAGTAAACACAGTTTTATGACTGGTCAGAAACTATTGATTTTATTCATTAGTTCATTAAATGTTTTAATTGGTCATTTTAGAATGAAAAAAAATGTAATAAACAAAACCTACATTGTCAGAAATGTATGTACATCTGTGGAAGCAGGGGTCTTTTTTTGTTGTTTTTGTTTTGAGCTAGCAGCAAGCACTAAATACTGTTTTTTTAGGTGAGTTTGATGTAGGCGTTGGTTTTATTAGGTCGTCTGAATTTTAGAAGTTACAATATTAATTTACATATTCAACTTTTTGCTTCTTATGTTGCGATTCAAGTCAGTTGTTAAAACCACAGGTGTATACTGTATTTTCCTGCATTTTAGCCAACTGTATTTACAGCACATAATTAGTATTAGTATATATATATATATATATGAAGACTTTAAATATTATTTATTTATTCCCTTTAATTTATTCTTTGACTCAAAAATGTTTTTTTAAATGAGTACATATTAAATACTCACCCGAAGTCGCCACCTGAAAGACATGAGCAGAAATGGTAAAAATCAGACTCTATACATACAATCTATTTGTATGGTTGACTGTTTGTGTGAGTGCAGATGAAGCAGTGACATGTGTCTGTCCTGCAGACACCTCTGCTCCTCTCTGCTCCGCTCATTACCTAAGCAGATCCTGTGTCTGTTATTGTACACCGTTTTGGCGATGATGATGGTCGTCCCCACGATCAGAGCGGCTATAAAGACGCCGATGATGACCCCTGTGTAGGTGGAGGAGGCTGCGGAGAGACGACAGGAGAAGGACAGCCAACGTGTTAGGAAGTGGAGGTAAAGGACAGGGAGGAGCAGTAGGTTTGTCAGCATTCCAGAGGAGGAGCCCACACCTGCAGCGACAAGCTTTGAGTCTCAGACTCATCTCTGTTTCACTGGTGCACGACCTAACGTTCACACGTCATCCGTTGGTCGTCGAACTGTACGTTCCTTTAAATCAGTGGTTCTCAAACTTTTTATACTCTGTAGCACCTGAGAAAACATTGAGCTCTCTGAGTACCACCATGATGACCAACATTAGAATAAAGCAGCATAGGCCTTCCCCATTGACTTCCACCACACAGGAGAGATGTTTAATAATGTTTAGAAATGTTTAGAAAGATGTTTATGTTTAAATGTTGTATTAATTGTGCATGGTATGTTTCAGATTTATTCAATTGAAAATGTAAATGTGAAAATATGAATTTTCCCTGCGTACCACTGGTGGTACACGTACCACAGTTTGAGAACCACTGCTTTAAATACATGCAAATCTGAGTGTATTTGTGGACACATGGCTGAAATCTTTATCTGAAAATGAAGACTTTAATTTAAATTTCTTTAATAGAAAATACAAATTTACAATTTATATTATTATTTAAAAGTATTTATTTAAATATAATGAATATAATTTAATTATTTATTTACATTGTATTTTTTTCATTTTATTACAATTATGTAATCTTTTTAGATAATTTAACAAAAACTATTTAAAAATAGTATTTGTATTGTATGGACTAATTGTTGCTAAATCACATAAGAGTATAATTGGATTTTATCTTAAAACTGAATTACAGAAAATATATATATATATTTTTTAATTATTTTTCCATCTTTAAAGCAGTTGCACGTAGACTATGAAAAAAAATTGTTTATGTTTTAAATATATGGCATATATATTTTGGAATAAGAAGCTTCTGACAAATGACTCTTAGAAGTTAGAAACTTAAATCAAATTAACTTCGAGACATTTATTGTCCTAATTTCTTTATATTTTTATATATTTTTGTATTTTTATATCGTCAACATTAGCATTGCTAATTTGTTTAAATAAGGATTTAATGACAGCACGTCCATTTTAAATGTTCAGCCAATCAGCAAGAGGATTTTTCATCATTTTGATGAATCGAATTGTCATTTTTATGTATCATTTTTCTTTATGTTTCCAACGATATTTCCAGAGCAGAGAGGGTAAAAACTAAGTGAGAACTTCCGTTTCCGTTGCCACCACTCACTTTTCACAGTCAGGTAGACTTCCAGCTCAGTGATGTCAAGGGGGTTCTCACTGCGGCAGAAGTAGAATCCTTCGTCCTCCTTGCTGTTGACGATGGTCAGTGTGAGAACAGGCCCATCTTCAGACAGGATGTACTTCGGTCCGGGCATGATGACCTCCTGGTGCAGTCCTTTTCTCCAGGTGGTGCTGGCTGGAGGCACAGACATGTTCTCGGAGCAGGTCAGAGTGATTCTGTCCCGCTCCACTGCTGTGGCTATGGGCTGCCCTTCTGGGAATGGGGGCTCTGGGAAAACAGGGAAACATAACAACTGTTTTTTTCAGATCCTGATCAGAGAAATTAAACCTTTTTTTGTGTTAAATTATAATTATTCATTTTTCTACTTTTGGTAGACACTGTCACCTTAATTCTCTAATTCCTAATTAATTATTTTCACCTATTTGGTTCATTCTTTGTCCTTTCTGTTGCTACGTCAATTTTTACAGGGTTGGAATAATATGGTACTTTGATCTAATCTAATCAAATCTATCCTAATCTGATCAAGTCCAATGTAGTCCAATCTACCCTTCGGTAATCCAATGTAATCTACTTTAATCTGACCGACTACTCCAATCTACAGTACTGTAATCCAATGTAATCTACTTTAATCTGACCCACTTCTCCAATCTACTCTACTATAATCCAATGTAATTTACTCTAATCTAATCTGATCCACTGGACTCCAATCTACACTACTGTAATCCAATGTAATCTACTTTAATCTGACCGACTACTCCAATCTACAGTACTGTAATCCAATGTAATCTACTTTAATCTGACCCACTTCTCCAAGCTACTCTACTATAATCCAATGTAATTTACTCTAATCTAAATTTCTGTACTACAATCTACTCTATTGTAATCCAATGTAATCTAATCTAATCCACTGTACTCAATCTACCCTTCTGTAACCCAATGTAATCTACTCTAATCTAATCCACTGTACTCCAATCTACACTACTGAATCCAATGTAATCTACTCTAATCTAATCCAATGTATTTTAAACTACTCTACTGTAATCCAATATTATCTACTCTAATCTGATCCACTGTACTTTAATCTACTCTACTGTAATCCAACGTAATCTACTCTAATGCAATCCACTGGACTCCTATATACTCTACTGTAATCCAATGCAATCTACTCTAATCCATTCTACTCTAATCTACACTACTGTAATCCAATGTAATCTACTCTAATCTCCTCTAATGCATTCTACATTAATCTACTCTAAACTCTAATCTAATCTCTCTTTTTTATTGTACTTACTCCTTCTTCTTTTTCTTTCGGCTTTGTCCCTTTTTTCAGGGGTTGCCACGGCGAATCATTGATTTCCATATTGCCCTGTTCTCTGCATCTTCTACACTGACTCCAACTATCTGCATGTCCTCCCTCACTGCATCCATATATCTCCTCTTTGGCCTTCTTTTTTTTCACCTACCTGGTAGCTCCATCTCTAACATTCTTCTACCATGTTTTCCACTGTCCCTCCTCTGCATATGTCCAAACCATCTCAATCTGGCTTCTCTAGCTTTTTCTCCAAACCTTCCTGTCTGTGTTGTTCCTCTAATGACCTCATTCCTGATCCTGTCCATTCTTGTCACTCCTAAAGAGAATCTTAGCATCTTTAACTCTGTCACCTCCAGCTCCGCCTCCTGTCTTCTGCCTATTGCTACTGTCTCTAAACCATACATCATGGCTGGTCTCACCACCGTCCTGTAAACCTTTCCCTTCACCTTAGCTGACACTCTTCTGTCACAGATCACTCCTGACACTTTTCTCCAGCTGTTCCATCCTGCCTG